TTTTCCTTTGGTTTTTTTCCCTTGGATTTTTTTTCCGGGATTCGTCAACACTAGCTGTTGCTTGTTGAGCTTGAGCTTATAACCAATGCATTTAAGATATTATGTGGTGTGGTTTATTAGGGGTACCCCTAATGTTTACTGTGTAAAATCTAAGTATTGTTTATTTTTCTAAAAACTATAAATTGTTCTCATGAGTTTAATTTTAATCAATAATAAACAGATAGGTATGTCTATGTTTTTTATGATGTGTTAATGGCGACTGATGTAGACATAAAATACATTCTTAACAATACAAAACAACAATTTTTTATTATTTAACACTATACACACTTAAAATGGATAAAATCCAGTAATATTTTTAATTGCTTCTGCTTCATCTTTTGCGGTCACTTCTTGATAGGAATGGAATTCCATAGAAAATGATGCTGTACCTGACGTGAATGTTCTAAGATCCTTTGAATACCCTAATAAATCTGCTAGAGGAACTAATGCGTTGATAACCTAGAACATAAATTAGGCTAAATAAATAAATAAATAAATAATTKAAGCGGTTATAAATAATGTATTACTCGATAATTTGATCTAGTTGAAATATCTTGAATTGATCCTCTTCTTCTTCCAAAATCCGAAAGTACAGAAGAAGAATGATCATCATCAGTTACAACTTCAACACTCATAATAGGTTCAAGTAAAATTGTATTAGCAGATTTCAGAAGCTATTTTGAATAATAAAAATAAACAAAAATATTAAAAAAAAAATTTAAGTCAACAATGGAATACATACTTTTTGAACACATTGATTTACAGCTGAACTTATGACAGTGTCTGATGTCCCTTTACTAATTTCTAACCAATGAAGTATAAACCGGACATTAATTACCTTAAATTAAAAATTAGGCAAACTATTTTAACATTTAAAATTAGAAAATAATTATTGCTTCCTACTTATGTGGTACATTATATTATACATTAAATTATATAATATTAGTAATYAAGTTACTATGCAATAACAGAAATCCATATTAAATTTTCTTTAGAATGAGACTTTAAGGGTTTGAAAACAAGGACATTTCATTAAAAATTTATAATAGAGAATATTATTTGAAATGATTAATTCAATATTAAAATAAAGTTATTTACATTTTATTTCATACTAAATTTGTCATGATCATATATTTTTTTTTTAATGTAAATCGGTGTATAAGGTAATACCAAGAAATTACTTGAATAATTAAAAACTTTAAATAGAACAATAATTAAAAATTATGTAATAATCTTTTAATCCTAATTTGAATTTAATAAAAAAAACCTGTAACCATATTTTCTATAGTTTTGAATACACAGAATCACTTAAATATAAATTCATACTAAAACATAAGTTTTAAGAAATGTTGTAATATATAATTTAATTAACTTTGTTGTAGGTGTAGGTAAAAATTAAATTAAATATAATAGTAAAGATATTATTTAATTACTAACAGGACATCCAAGTTTAGGACCATGTGATAAAGAAGCTTTTGCACTTGATTCTATAATATTTAATCTGTTCATATATATTGCCGCTGTATTGGATGCATTATCTGGACTGTGATCCAATGATAAAAGTTTTTTATTAGTTTTTTGTTTTAATATTGACATCACTATGTAAACACTATGCATACTTGAACCTAAAAATAAATTTGTATTTATTTTATTTTTAAAAATAAAAAAATACAACAAAAGCATTGAGAATGAAAATGAAAGAAATTAACATATCAATATTTCCTATTCATTACAAGATATATACAAGAGAARTAATATTTTGTTGATAAAAATATAAATTAATTAATAGTAAGGTACCGATTTTYAAATCAAGTCTATGATTTTCTTTTGCTTCAGACATTAATCCTTCTTTATACGAAATTTGTGGACGACTAAGATCAATATCAATTTTAAATTCACTTTTTATTCGTTCACCAATTACTTCAAGATGCAATTCGCCCATACCTAATCTAAAAATTTATAAAATTTATTCTAAGGTAGGTATTGAAACAAAATATACACTAGTAAAATTTACCCGCTAATATAGTTTGACCGGTTTCCTCGTCATATTGAATTCTTAAGCTAGGATCTTCTCTATGTAACTGACTTAGTGCATTATCCAAAGCTAATTGATAGGCCTAACAAAAAACAAATACCTATTAAATTTTATAATAGTTTAAAAGTGAATACAATCATAGATTAAATGAGTTTAYATAATTTGTGAAACTATTCTAATATTATTAAAATTAACAAATATAGTATATAAGGCAWGGGTCCAGTCAATTTCTAGAGGAATATTGGTCGACCATAGTAATATTTATTAGAGCAATATCGGTTGATCAAGTGTGAAATTTTAAACATAATTATACGTTTTATAAACAATGTTAAATATTTATTAATTATTAGCACTAGCAAAGAAAAAAATACAATTTTTTAATAGAAAAATGATTAAAAAAATATATTAATATTTAATACACAAATTATTATTATGCTGCTTGTAATGATGTAAATAGTATACCTAAWTAATAAGAGGTCAGCAGCTCACTTGTCGGAAAATATTGGTGAGTGGTGACCCTTAATATACGATATATCATGAGCATGACTAAAATCAATGTCTAAACACAAAATATTAAATAACAAAATTTTAGATCAATTTTAAAATAAAATTAGTATTGATATTAGCAATGTCAAAACAGAAATTTAATAAAATATTATCTGATTATTATTAACAAATTCTATTTATGTCTTTAAATATAATTTTATTTATATTTTGATAAATATATTAGTTTAAAATTAATATATATATATATATTTATAAGAATTAAACCTATAATGTTATTACTATAACATGAATACTTTAAATTTTAGTACATATAATTATTAAATTGAAAAAAACTTAATTAAAAATATAGACTTATTAATTTACTTGAGATGGTGGTTCAATAGAACAAAAAAACACTGGATCTGGTATATTCATTTCAACTCCAAGCATTTCAATTGATTCATCTTGAGTCATTTTTTTTGATTTAGACAACTTTGTTAAAGCATTTTTCACCGCATTGTTACTGCTGGAAAGTAAATCTCCGCACACAGTATTCTTAAAACATAAATAAATTCATATAAAATATGTAACTTTAATTAATAATATAAGTTCCTAAGATATATAATATATTAAACATACTTTTAGACCTGTAACGGCGACAATGTTTCCAGATTGTACACTATTCACTTCTTTATAAT